ATACAGCTGTTCCCTCACCACAGTGCAACAGTGAAAAGGGACCCCTTTCAAACAGTGTCGCGTTCCGAACGTTGTTTTAAGCGACGTATTTTAAAAATTCATATCATAACAAAAATAAACACCGGTATTCGGTATGAACCGGTATACCGCCCAGCACTAATATATATATATATTTTATTTTATTTTATTATTTAATATTTTAAAATAAAAAAATATTTTAAAATATTACATATTTTTTTGAAATTTTTAATTTATTTTTTTGTGATACATTTTTTTCAGGATTCTTTGATTAATAGAAAGTTCAAAAGAACATAATTTATTACCTTTTAACATTGTAAATGTGTTTCCTGTCACTATTAATTCATTTAATGGATCCCTGCTGAATAAAAGTATGAATTTATTTAAAGTAAAAAATAAATAAATAAAAATAAAAACTTACTAAACCCCAAACTTTCGAACCGTAGTGTCCACCTAACGTTGTACATAAGTGTACATATAATCGGTCATATTGATATATACATATCAATAAGTAGTGATATTTTAAAAATACTAATAATTAATTAAAAGTCAAACGCATTTAAAAAACATTTATTTCAAATAGTTTTAGAGATCATTTTTGAATATTTTCATTTTCAAGATTACAAAGAGAAAACTTTTTCCCTCTGAATAATGTGCACAGATGAATCAATATTTTCATATACTGTAAGAGCCAGAACAGGGCCTTACCAATCTCTTTCACATCCATGTTTGGGATGTACTTCCATATCATTGGCAATGCAAGGTCTTGCAAACCCGATTCTAAAAAGTAAACACCCACATCAGGACCAAAAAGCACTACTGTGTTATTAACATTGTTTTTTGAAAGCTTAAAAGGTGCATCAAGCAACATTTTCTATTGTAAAAGTCTCATCCTGCCATATTAATATACACTCTTAAAAATAAAGGTGCTTCACAATGCCATAGAAGAACCTTTTTGTCTAAATGGTTTCATAAAGAACCTTTAACATCTGAAGAACCTTTCTGTCTCACAAAAGGTTCTTTGGGGTGAAAGAAGGTTCTTCAGATTACAAAAAGGTAAGAAATAGATGGTTCTTTAAAGAACCTTTGACTGAATGGTTCTTTGTGGAACCAAAAATGGTTCTTCTATGGCATCGCTTGAAGAACCTTTTGAAGCACCTTTATTTTTAAGAGTGTACCTCTCATTTTATATTAGTATCCCGCCTATTTTCATACTTTAAAGAATAAATAATTTCACAAGGTCACAAATACACCTGTGAATAGGACATCGACATTATAATGGCATCGGTCACCATCAACCACATCATTAGATGTCACTGTTAAGTCTAAAAATTACTATTAGAAGTCCTTTGTACTATCATAATATGCAAATACTGTACATTATAGTAAAAGTGAGTCTTACTGGTGACACCTGCTATTTGATAATGGCAAAATATGAACTTACTGGCTTGCGGACTCTCTCATTATACCTTTGATGGTGTCGGAGCTAACTTTCCTAAGCATGTCATCCCACAAGATCAGCTTGATTCCTCGCTTCAGTTTGGTCATAAATCTCCCAACTGCGGTCACATGATTGAGGAAAAGCTTTCCCATGTCTCCATCGTTGGCTTCCAACCAGCGCTTCGAATCTTCGCTTTTGCCCAGGCCATGTACCTGAATGTATTTTATCCACAGCAGATATGAGCTTGCATTTGAAAGGAACAGGTCACTCAAAAATGAAAATCTTATTGTGTCTTTGTTATTTTCTTTTTTCCATGAAATACAGCTATTTTTCATGATCTGTAGAGATCCACTGACCTCATCAGCACCGATGTGGAACCACTTTGCTTCTGGGTGCTTCTTCATAACCTGCGTTAGCATGTCTTGCACAAGATCCATGCCTCCTTGGGCCAGAGGGTTTAGGCTATTGGGAAATGTTTCCACTTCTCTCAATTTGAAATACTTCTCGTGTTTTAAGACAAACTGAAATGCGAACAGAAAGACTGGTACTAGTGTAAAAGTGTACAGTATGCTAATGAAGTAAAATCACAGTGCATCTACAGCATTTGAATGATTTTTGCCTCCACATCAACACAGCCTCTGTGAATGGTTGACTTAGATGTGCATGTTAAAAAATTTAAATGTTCCTTTAATGCTTTACTGAAGTATGTAGTGAGCACATGTTTGAGATATCTACAGTTTTTGTGAGAGTTAGCTGCTTCTGAACTTGCCTCCATGTGTCCGAACACCTGCACCAGAGGAATCAGTTCAAGCTTGTGCCGTTTGGCCAGAGACTTAATTTCCTCTATATCTTCCGGACTTAACCAGAGACAATAAAGATAAGCAAGTTAAAATATGTCTAAAGAGAAATAAAGATTAACACATCATCTTCTTATGATCTCTGAATATATTATTGCAATAGTTCAACTAAAAATGCATTTTTTTTAGCTTTGGTGGAATGGAAGATTCAGTGAATAATGTAACAGTGACTCAAATGTCAATCTGTTCGTCATGCAAAGTTACTGTATTTGGCTTCAGTAGACTTGGAATATATTGTCAAGTGTCAAAAATCATGTAAACACGTTTCTATGGTATTTTTATTATGTTTTTTTGCTCCTTTTTGAAGCTTGACATATGTGGTAATGTTCTTCAGTAATTAAAATAAAACTGAAATAAAATAAAATGTAAATATTAGATGAAAAACTTAAACTTAAAAAAAAACTTCAATGAAAATTGGAAATGCTGTCTCAGCAACATTTAGCGGAAGTACTAAAATTACTAAAACTGAAAAAAAAAAATTAAAGCTAAATACAATTATTTAAAATAAACAAAATGACAAAATCGATCAAATTAAAATTTAAACTCAAAATGTTAATAAACTTAAAATATTCAGAAATTCTACAATAATTATAATAATAATAATAAACTTTATTTTTATAGCGCCTTTAAAAGTTGCATCTAAAAGTGCTTTACTAAAAAAAGCAAAAATACATTGAAATACAAATAAATCTAAATGAAAACATGCAACATAATTTAAGAATTACATAACATAAAATAAAAACAATTACATAATAATCACATAAAAGCTACTCTGAAAAGTACGTTTTAAGAGAAGATTTAAAAACATATACCATTTACTAATATATATATATATATATATATATATATATATATATATTCGCACAAGTCATGAAAGTAGATAAAGAGAACCCAATCAAACAAATGAGGCAAAACTATAAGCTTTGTCATTTATTTATTGAGAAAAATGATCCAGTGTTACACATCTGCGAGTGGCAAAAGTATGTGAATCTCTAGGATTAACTGTTAATTTGAAGGCAAAATTAGAGTCCATCTGTTCAGAGGTGTTTTGAATCATTGAGATTACTATCAAGTGGCATTGCCTGCACTGTATTATTTAAAGAAAATGGATCTATCATTCTGGTCATGTTTGTGGAAGTGAATCATGGCACAAACATTTCTGAGATCTCTGACGACCTCAGAAAAAGAGTTGTTGTTGCTCATCAGGCTAGAAAAGGTTACAAAACCATATCTAAAGAGTTTGGACTCCGCAAATCCACAGTCAGATAAACTGTGTACAAATGGAGGAAATTCAAGACCACTATTACCCTCCCCAGGAGTGGTCCACCCACAAAGATCACTCTAAAAGCAAGACATGTAATCGTCTGTGAGGTTGCAAAGGAACCCAGGGTAACTTCTAAGCAACTAAAGGTCTTACTCACATTGGCTAATGTTAATGTTCATGAGTCCACCATCAGGAGAACACTGAACAACAATGGTGTCCATGGCAGAGATGCAAGGAGAAAGCCACTGCTCTCCAAAAAGAACATTGCTGCCCGTCTGCAGTTTGCTAAAGATCATGTGGACACGCCAGAGGGCTACTGGAGAAATGTTTTGTGGATGGATGAGATCAAAATAGAACATTTTGGTTTAAATGAGAAGCGTTATGTATGTAGAATAGAAAGCACTGCATTCCAGCATAAGAACCTTTTCCCATCTGTGAAACATGGTGGTGGTAGTATCATGGTTTGGGCCTGTTTGGAACAATGAATTCTGAATTATATCAGCAAATTCTACAGGAAAATGCCAGGACATCTGTCAGTGAACTGAGTCTCAAGAGAAAGTGGCTCGCGCAGCAAGACAACGACCCCACGCACACAAGTCATTTTTACCAAAGAATGGTTAAAGAAGGACAAAGTTAATGTTTTGGAATGGCCAAGACAAAGTCCGGACCTTAATCTAATTGAAATGTTGTGGAAGGACCTGAAGCAAGCAGTTCATAGAAAGAAACCCGCGAACATCACAGAGTTGAAGCATTCTGTACTGAGGAATGGGCTAAAATTCCAACAAGGCATTGTGCAGGACTGATCAGCAACTGCTGTAACTACAAGAAACGTTACCTGCAGTTATTGCTGCAAAATGGGGTCACACCAGATACTGAAAGCAAAGATTCACATACTTTTGCCACTCACAGATATGTAACATGATCATTTTTCTCAATAAATAAATGACAAAGGATAGATTTTTGTCTCATTTGTTTTATTGGCTTATCTTTGTCTACTTTCATGATTTGCATGAAACAGCTGATGATGTTTTGGGTCATATTTACACAGAAATATAGAAAATTCTAAAGGGTTCACAAACTTTCAAGCAGCACTGTATATCCCTATACACACTTACAAATTTAACCATTATTCGCCAAAGCAGGTAAAGTTATCAGCAAAAAATGATAATATCTCCAAATGGGCAAATCTTGATTTATTGGTCCTAGTACATTATTTAGCATTAACATATGTTGGATATATAATCTAAACATGATTGTGTATGTCAACATTTCATTAGGCTGGATCTTGAATATAAGATGCAAACTGTGTAAACTGTGAAAGCTGTGTAAACTGCCCAAACCTCTGTGGGCAGGTGTGGACAGCTGGATCCAAGCGTAAATAACACTTGCTTTAACTGTTTTCCAATAGTTTGCTGTACCTAAAAGCATGCAACATTACAAAAAATCCAGTCTTGTTGAGTAATGGTAACCAAACATTGTGATTCAGTTAAGATTAGAGTAGAAAAATGAAGAGATTGAAATTATGTGTAATGTAAAAAGCGCTTCAGAATTGAATTGAGATGGGAAAATCAATATTTTTTCAAGCCCTAGTGCAAATATTACCTGAGTCTTGATGAGACCCAGAAGCCTTTGGCCTGGTGGTGGATCTGCTTGGCCATTCCCATGTTGTCTCTAACATAACAAATGTATTGTTATATTATTTATGATGCCCCGCTAGTGTAGGTAGTGCTTACTAGCTTTGATTGCTTATGTGTACTACATTAGGGTTATGACAGTACACATACATTGTCTTTCTGTATTACTGTTTTATCATGTAGTTCTTCTTCAATCAAGACAAATAATTATTCCTCACAGTCCACACGCAACAGTTGGCCCAAGTAGGGGTCAGTTACTGAATAAAGTTGCAAAAGCAATTTTTCTTTTTCACAGCCATGGCAGAAAATTGTTACCATATTTTTCTTACACAGTCGCCCCATGTTTCCTGTGAGTCAAGATGGATTTTTTTTGCTAACTCTTGCAAAACAGCATCCCTCATTCCAAGCATTCAGTCAAAAAACGATTTTCCCCACACAGAAACATTCTTGTGCAAACACAGTTTGCTAATCAGCCTCAGATAGGGTGCACACTGATTCTCAGTCACAATTCAAAACTGGGTCTGTTGTGATAGGGTCTTGAAGCATAGAGAGAAAAAAAACAATGCAGCTATTTAATATATGCATCTCCCCAGGAGTGGTCCACCCACAAAGATCACTCTAAAAGCAAGACATGTAATCGTCTGTGAGGTTGCAAAGGAACCCAGGGTAACTTCTAAGCAACTAAAGGTCTTACTCACATTGGCTAATGTTAATGTTCATGAGTCCACCATCAGGAGAACACTGAACAACAATGGTGTCCATGGCAGAGATGCAAGGAGAAAGCCACTGCTCTCCAAAAAGAACATTGCTGCCCGTCTGCAGTTTGCTAAAGATCATGTGGACACGCCAGAGGGCTACTGGAGAAATGTTTTGTGGATGGATGAGATCAAAATAGAACATTTTGGTTTAAATGAGAAGCGTTATGTATGTAGAATAGAAAGCACTGCATTCCAGCATAAGAACCTTTTCCCATCTGTGAAACATGGTGGTGGTAGTATCATGGTTTGGGCCTGTTTGGAACAATGAATTCTGAATTATATCAGCAAATTCTACAGGAAAATGCCAGGACATCTGTCAGTGAACTGAGTCTCAAGAGAAAGTGGCTCGCGCAGCAAGACAACGACCCCACGCACACAAGTCATTTTTACCAAAGAATGGTTAAAGAAGGACAAAGTTAATGTTTTGGAATGGCCAAGACAAAGTCCGGACCTTAATCTAGTTGAAATGTTGTGGAAGGACCTGAAGCAAGCAGTTGATAGAAGGAAACCCACCAACATCACAGAGTTGAAGCATTCTGTACTGAGGAATGGGCTAAAATTCCTACAAGCCGTTGTGCAGGACTGATCAGCAGTTACAAGAAACGTTACCTGCAGTTATTGCTGCAAAAGGGGGTCACACCAGATACTGAAAGCAAAGATTCACATACTTTTGCTACTCACAGATAATTTTTCTCAATAAATAAATGACAAAGCATAGATTTTTGTCTCATTTGTTTTATTGGCTTCTCTTTGTCAACTTTCAGGACTTGTGTGAAAATGATGTTTTGGGTCATATTTCTGCAGAAATATAGAAAATTATATATATATATTGGTGATTATTATTCACTGTCATTTTATGGAAACGTGCTGCATAGAGCAAATATTCTTCAAAATATCACCTTTTGCGCTCTACAAAAATAACAGCATACAGGTTTAGAATGACATGAGGCAGAGTAAATGCTAGAATTTTCAGTTTTGGGTGAACTGAGCCAAATTAAGTCAAGCTTAGTTAATCAGACGCTCAGAACCAGTCACTCACCTGTATGCAAAGCTTGATTTGAGAATGCTGAGTTCCCCCTCATAAGGAAACATATCCTCATATTCCAGCAATATCCCATTAGCACCCAGAGATGACAGTAGAGGGAATATCTACAAAAGAACAAAGGCAAACTTTAAAAAGGATACTATTAATACATTATACCACATGTTTAAAACACATCCCTGTTTGCACATATTGTTTCCTACCTGTTCAAGGTATTTGACTTTGGGTGCGGCACCTTTCAGATCAAAGTGCACGATTTTTAATGGATCTGTGGGTGAATCATCAGGAATTTCTGGTTCTGGCTCCTCTTGGTTTGATTGGATCTTCTCTTTTTTCTCTGGCTGAGCCTCTGTGTTGTCTGTATGTTCTTTTTTGACAGGATCTTCCTGACTATGAACCAAATTCAGCTGTGGGATACGCTGGCTAGCCCAGAATTTACCACCTTGTGTGATTTGGTGGGTCTTGTGACTTGTGTCTTTGTTTGAGCTATAAATAGAAGGTAAATAAACGTCAATTACAGGCTTGTTTAAGTGAAGCATGGTTTGATGCACATGTACATGGAGACCCAGGAGAACTGCAATCCTCACCTGGGGCTAAAGAAATATTTCACCATGGCAACAATCACCAAGCAACCGATGATCAACCTCATAAACTTTTGATTGCTCATGTTTGCTTTTCTGCAGGTGACTGGGATAAACCATAAAAATGAAGGCAGGTGTTGAACTCAGGTGATCTTCAAAACAAAATTTGCATTGAAAATCACAAAACATAATGAAAAACTCAGAAATCTTTACCTGTTTAAATGACAATGGAAAAGCCTCAATTTACAAACACATGCATTTAATAATAATAATAATAATATACTTTACAAATGCAAATGCGTACGTGGTCTATTAAAAAAAATGTGGAAATGCATAAAAAATCAAAGTAGGTCAACAATTTAACTTGCATTTAACATATTTTCTCACAATTAGGACTCTTTAGCATTAAAGGAGAAATGTTTTCTTGCTCAAATAGAAGATATGACGCTTTATAAATGAATGCAGGTTGCTATCGCTTTAGTAAAACATCGAAATGTATACTTACTTTGTTAAAGACCATTAATCCTTCAGGTAAAAGACTTTATGAAGCATATAAGCAGATTCAGAATTACTTCCGTGTGCAGTTTATTGATGCAAGTGCATTTGTGTGAATAACGCGACAAGTTCAACCTGTTTAACGTGACGTACTTACAATAGCTTATTTGCATTTATAATTATCGATGACAGATGGTCATCAGAGTCAGACATGTTTCTGCACTGCACTTGACCGAGCGAACACCATAAGGTGAGCAGCGTGAAGGCGCGTTTCCATTACCCTTCAAATTGCGCAAATTCAAATTTGCACACGTCTGCGGTGCAATGTGGCTCTGATACGGTCACCGAAGCTGATTGCGGCCACTCAATGCTTGTGTTTATGTTTTTATACAGGCTATGCTTTATTCCAGCCGCGCCACGCACGTTTCTGAAGCGGCTCTCTTTGCTGCTTCTGTAAAGATATACGCATAAGCCTCCTTTGAGTAAATATAGCCAAAATCCCACCAAAATCCGTTGCCATGACTTATCGCGAGAGGCAAACGGTTACGTTTAAGTCTCATAACATTGGTCAATGGAAACGCCGTCATTTCGCAATACTTTTTTATCGACATTTATAAAATATCGCCAAAGTTTTGCGCAAATCTGTAATGGAAACGCGCCTAGTGACAGTAATAGTGCGCGTCACATCGACGCTTTACGGCGCGTGTTGTTCAGTATATCAAATACTGGGCAACCGTAACATCGCCTATAAATGCGCACAAAAATCATGCCAGTTGCTACAAAAAGTAAGTCATACGCTGTGTATGACTTACTTTTTGTTTAAAAACAAATTAAATTTGGATAGTTGTCAAGACATAACATGTCAAGAAGTGACAGCGGAGTCCTGCTGTGTTACACGATATATTTAATCTCAAATAGCATTTTCTAATTCTTGTATAATAATTTTACATGCGGTTTTATGTTTTCATAATCAAAGGACTACGTGTAATATCTTTACTTTTCAAGAAAAAAACTAAAACTGCTGACTAGTTACAACATCTAAAAATGTATTTTACCAGTTATATTGTACATAGCAAGTCCAATGTCTAGTGAAAGTATTATATTTAGCATTATTTCAATGTAAAAACTCTCTCTCAGAGGGAGTTTTTACATTAAAATAATGCACAATATAATACCCTCAGTCTCTCTCTCTCACGCTCTGCTTTTTTTACTCTGTCTACTATATCATCTATCATTATAGATACTATATCAGCATACTATTTAAATGAAGTTTTTCAGGGTTTTACAAATATGTCTTTAAATGTGTCTTATTTGAAAATACGTTATCCTAAACTGAAACATATCTTACAGTTTATCTAGCCTATTTTGTGAAATGCAAAAACGTCGACTCTGAATCGATAACATGTGACATGTGACGACAGCATATTTCTTTAAGTCCCGCCCTTAACCTCTCACTCTGTGCTTTGATTGGGCAGAGCCACTTTCAAGTGGCCTACGATTGGACAGTTTAGAAGTCATTCACAGAGCCCTGCCAACCGCATCACAGGAAAACAGACAGCAGCAATAACAATGGTGTCGCATTTCAGCGGAGTGCTTCAGCTCACAGATCTGGATGATTTTATTACTCCGTCTCAGGTTTAATAGTTGTTTCTCCCTGTAACATTTAAAACAGACACATTACTGTCAGTTCAACGGATAAACGGATGTAACATTGTGTAGATAACGATACAGTTTATAAAAGTGACACATGTTTCTGACAAGCCTTTTTGATAACGTTTAAGTCTTGTAAATACTGTAAATGCTAATTATCAAGGACATTCGTTTAGTTAAAGCTCCCACGTTTGGGCCCACGTTATTTGCAAGGCCATATAATAACAGTGGCTGTGTCTCAAAACCTAGTGAGCTGCAGCTGCCTAAGTAAACTGCTGTATATAAAATGCATGTACACTTCAACCACATTGAAATGTATGCATGTCACTTCATTAGATAACAACATTTCGAACCAAATGATTTATTTCCAAAAAAGACATTGCATCACATTGAAAGCAAAACAAGTTAGGTGTTATATACTATTCAGAATGTATTTTCATCCACTAAAAGTTACTGTTACACCACTTGTTTAAAAATCATTGCTGATTACACTTGATCTTTTGTCATATCATTTGTCATCTAATGTGTATAGATATAACCTAAGTATTCAAAAACTGAATACTACTATTTAAAAGTTTGGGGGACGGTAAGATTTTTATGACTTTGAAAAGTATTTTATGCTCAACAAGGATGCATTTATTTGATCAAAAATACAGGGAAACCAGAAATATTATTACAATGAAAAATAACTGCTTTCTATTTGAATATATTTTAAAATGTAATTTATTCCTATGATGTTAAAGCTGAATTTTCAGCATCATTACTCCAGTCTTCAGTGTCACATGATCCTTCAGAAATCATTCTAATATGCTGATGTAGAGCTCAAGAAACATCTTATTATTATTAATGTTGAAAACAGTTGTGCTGCTTCATATTTTTGTGGAAACGATGATAATTCTTTTTCAGGACTCTTTGATGAAAGTTCCAAAGAACAACATTTATTTCAAACAGAAATCTTTTGTAAGATTATTAATGTCTTTACTGACACTTGTGTTCCATGTTACGCTTCCTTGCTGAATAAAAATAGTAATTAATTAAAAGCAAAAAAAGCTATTATACCGATATATAATTTCACTGTTGTTAATTTGCCCAATTTATCAGGAATGTGTGAAACCTGTAAAGGGGGAAAAGAAGCAGGGAAGATCCGTGGCTAAAATCCAGATAGAATATTATGGCAGTTATTTTCAGGTCCATCAGGTGAGTACAAATGATGTGACTTTTATTTCGAGCCATGTGTGTATTTCATTTGGCAGATATGATCGATATAATGCATAAATGCTTGTTTCCCAGGATGGTCAAAGGCAAAAGTTGGAAAAAGCAAAGATCGAACGACTGTCTGGCTTGAAGTGACTGCATCACGTCTGCTGAAAGTGTCCTGATCACCCAACAGAGTCATGAGGATCTGTTCCGTGTGCTACGGCAAAATAAGGTGCGCAGTACATTACTGCATTTAATGTTTTACTCCCAATGAATAATTCACCTCAAACGTGTTTGTGTCTGTCAGCAGCAGGTCAGCAGTAGTGAGCAGAAGGTGGTGGTGGTGTCTGTGTCTCCTCAGTCGAGAGCCTCTCTAGCGGCACACTACGGTCTCAGCAGCAGCGAAGTGGCTCGTAGACTCACCAGCTTCCTGAAGAACTTGGGTGAGTTTGAGTCCGCGATTCATATGACCAGTCAAAGAAACATGTCCTCCTGTGTGTATTGAGATCATGGAAACTCCATACCCATCTTTCAGGTGTCCATCACGTGTTTGACACCGGCTTCAGTCGCTCATTCAGCCTGTTAGAAAGCCAGAGGGAGTTTCTAGAGCGATTCAGTAGGAAGGAAGTAGACAAGAAGGCACTACCGATGCTGGCGTCTGCCTGTCCAGGTAGTTGCAATCAGTTTTTTATTTTCTGAAATGTTCTCAGTAGTGTGTTTTATGAAATGAGACTTTGTGATTGGTTCAGGCTGGATTTGCTATGCTGAGAAGACTCATGGTGAATTCATCCTCCCATACATCAGCACGACCCGCTCGCCCCAGCAGATGATGGGTTCTCTAGTCAAGGGCTATTTCGCATCGCAGAAGGTACTAAACAATCAACTTCTGTTCAGAGAGGGAGAAACGGCCCACAATCAGTGCTTAATTTGTAAATGAAACGCTGCCGGATACAAGGCGCCGTGACCGACACTGACAATACAACTTCAGTTTTCCCGGAACATTCAGTGACCTGGCGACCCATTTTTGACCCAGGGTTTGACATCGTTGGCTGTATAGTTAGGTCCATGCAGAAACTTGTGAACGATGCTCTTATAGTTGTGTCATCACCGTTTAGTGACGACACAACTATAAGAGCATCGTTCACAAGTTTCTGCATGGACCTAACTATACAGCCTAGGGTTTCAAACCCTGGGTCAAAAATGGGTCGCCAGGATGATTTAAGGCAAATATATGTAAGTTACATTTAAAAATAACAAAATTTGTTTCCATAAAAATAAAATACAATCATAATCTATATAGAAAAGGTATAAATATGAAAAATATATCTGACATAAATAATTAACAGATATAAAACAGATTTGAGGTGCGGCGATCCGCAAACAGGTTCACGGAAAGGAAACTGAGAACTGAGATGACAGAACGCGCATCCTGTTTGTTTGCTTAATTACAAAACACAAATGTTCTTTTTATTGTGAGTGTGCAAAAATAAAAGTAAAAATTTACATTTACATTTAGTCATTTAGCAGACGCTTTTATCCAAAGCGACTTACAAATGAGGACAATGGAAGCAATCAAAATCAACAAAAGAGTAATGAGCTTAACGTAGTACACGTAGCAAGGTATTTTGATTGCTTCTATTGTCCTCATTTGTAAGTCGCTTTGGATAAAAGCGTCTGCTAAATGACTAAATGTAAATGTTTACTTTTATATTTGCACATTCGCAATAAAAAGAACATTTGTGTTTTTGTAATTAAGCAAACAAACAGGATGCGCTTTCTGTCATCTCGTTCTCGGTTTCTTTTCAGTTAACTTGTTTGCGGATCGCTGTGCTTCATTATTTATGTCAGATATATTTCGCATATTTATACCTTTTCTATAAAAATTGTGATTGTATTTTATTTTTATGGAAACAAATGTTGTAATTTTTAATGTAACTTACATATATTTGCTTTTAGTCATCCTGGCGACCCATTTTTGACCCAGGGTTTGAAACCCTAGGCTGTATAGTTAGGTCCATGCAGAAACTTGTGAACGATGCTCTTATAGTTGTGTCGTCACTAAACGGTGATGACACAACTATAAGAGCATCGTTCACAAGTTTCTGCATGGACCTAACTATACAGCCTAGGGTTTCAAACCCTGGGTCAAAAATGGGTCGCCAGGATGATTTAAGGCAAATATATGTAAGTTACATTTAAAAATAACAAAATTTGTTTCCATAAAAATAAAATACAATCATAATCTATATAGAAAAGGTATAAATATGAAAAATATATCTGACATAAATAATTAACAGATATAAAACAGATTTGAGGTGCGGCGATCCGCAAACAGGTTCACGGAAAGGAAACTGAGAACTGAGATGACAGAACGCGCATCCTGTTTGTTTGCTTAATTAC